CCAAAAACTCTCTCAATCACTTAACTTTGTTTTTTAAACCACTTCAGACTGACTTGTAAGACTGACATAAACCTCTTACCACTACAGACTGATATAAACCTCTTACCACTACAAACTGACTTGTAAGACTGACATAAACCTCTTACCACTACAGACTGACTTGTAAGACTGACATAAACCTCTTACCACTACAGACTGACTTGTAAGACTGACATAAACCTCTTACCACTACAAACTGACTTGTAAGACTGACATAAACCTCTTACCACTACAGACTGACTTGTAAGATTGACATAAACCTCTTACCACTACAGACTGACATAAACCTCTTACCACTACAGACTGACTTGTAAGACTGACATAAACCTCTTACCACTACAAACTGACTTGTAAGACTGACATAAACCTCTTACCACTACAGACTGACTTGTAAGACTGACATAAACCTCTTACCACTACAGACTGACATAAACCTCTTACCACTACAGGCTGACTTGTAAGACTGACATAAACCTCTTACCACGACAGTCTGACTTGTAAGACGGACATAAACCTCTTACCACGACAGACTGACATAAACCTCTTACCACTACACACTGACATGTAAGACTGACATAAACCTCTTACCACTACAGACTGACATAAAGCTCTTACCACTACAAACTGACTTGTAAGACTGACATAAAACTCTTACCACTACAGACTGACATAAACCTCTTACCACTACAGACTGACATGTAAGACTGACATAAACCTCTTACCACTACAGACTGACTTGTAAGACTGACATAAACCTCTTACCACTACAGACTGACTTGTAAGACTGACATAAACCTCTTACCACGACAGACTGACTTGTAAGACTGACATAAACCTCTTACCACTACAGACTGACATAAAGCTCTTACCACTACAAACTGACTTGTAAGACTGACATAAAACTCTTACCACTACAGACTGACTTGTAAGACTGACATAAACCTCTTACCACTACAGACTGACTTGTAAGACTGACATAAACCTCTTACCACTACAGACTGACATAAACCTCTTACCACTACAAACTGACTTGTAAGACTGACATAAACCTCTTACCACTACAAACTGACTTGTAAGACTGACATAAACCTCTTACCACTACAAACTGACTTGTAAGACTGACATAAACCTCTTACCACTACAGACTGACTTGTAAGACTGACATAAACCTCTTACCACTACAGACTGACTTGTAAGACTGACATAAACCTCTTACCACTACAGACTGACTTGTAAGACTGACATAAACCTCTTACCACTACAGACTGACTTGTAAGACTGACATAAACCTCTTACCACTACAGACTGACTTGTAAGACTGACATAAACCTCTTACCACTACAGGCTGACTTGTAAGACTGACATAAACCTCTTACCACTACAGACTGACTTGTAAGACTGACATAAACCCCTTACCACTACAGACTGATATAAACCTCTTACCACTACAGGCTGACTTGTAAGACTGACATAAACCTCTTACCACTACAAACTGACTTGTAAGACTGACATAAACCTCTTACCACTACAGACTGACTTGTAAGACTGACATAAACCTCTTACCACTACAGACTGACATGTAAGACTGACATAAACCTCTTATCACGACAGACTGACTTGTAAGACTGACATAAACCTCTTACCACTACAGACTGACACAAACCTCTTACCACTACAGGCTGACTTGTAAGACTGACATAAACCTCTTACAACACAGTTTTTGCTATTATATCTACATAAACAAAAGCCATGGATTTCTGTGGAGCCTACATTCTGAAGTACCACGAGCCGGTAATTTATGACAAAATTTACCCCACAAACCACTGATCCAGTTAGTAACACCACCCAGTAATTCTGAAGACCAATTTTCTCCACTAGCCATATTCTGGTGAGCCAATACTACTACCCAAAGACACAATTTTCACGTCTCGGCATGACTTACAATGCTAGATTTCTTTCCATCAGCGCCATAGTTGTTATTGTGAGCCACATCATGATCCCCAGGGGTTTTGTATGATGCATCTCTGTGATCATGTCTTTTCACTTTGATTTATATGGAAGATATAGCTAATTTGTTTGTATTTTACTTATTTAGATATACCAAAAAGATCAATAGTACTTATATATATACTAACTTTATCCTTGTTCAACTTTCTCGTCACCAAAGGATGTAATAACAGCTGGGTTTTTTTTATCTATTGAAACTGTATCAGCATAGTGTCTAAGTTGGGAATAACTTACTGCGAAGCATTTTAATATAAGTAGGTTTGAACCATTTTAGGACATCTTCTGATCATGGGCATCAAAGGGACTGAAATTTCAAATGAAAGAGAGAGAGAAGAAAGAGAGAAAGAGAGAGATAGAGACAGACAGAGACAAAGAGAGATAGAGAGAAAGAGGGGGAGAGAGAATCACTGCCATAATGGCTGTAAATCTAGGTTTTTTCCCTGATTGGCAGAGAAAATTACATACCAACAATGTATGAGGGTTTTCTTTGGGCCTATGGTTGAGTCTCACATGTGGCTCTGTTTGCTGTATATATCCAAGCTGTTACAAGATTATCATTGATTTGGCAAAAATGGTGAAATAAGTACAGAATCAAATGAAATGGAAGATAATACTAGGGCTATAAAGACACACAATTAAGGACATATTTCCACATAGCTGTCTTTCAGCAACATTTTTCTTGTTTGATTTTTTTTTTTTGTTTTTTCTAAATTATCACATACAGATATGAGGGGATTTGAAAGCAAGTTAGTTGAATTTTCAAGATAGTCCCCTGCTAACTCCACACACTTCATTGTTTCTTCAAGTTTGCCAGTCATTGCTACTCAATCGGTAGAGCCCATTGTGTTGGTCCCTTATCCTGAGCCCTGTACAGCAGCCCTAACATCATCATTATCCTTTTCTCCACCCTGGAATTTTTTTTTTTTTTTTAATTCTGGGAAGGAAATGGAAATTGCAGGGGGCTAGGTCTTAGAGAATAGGGCAGATAAGGGAGAAGCTTACAGCCACACCCACACATTACTTCCAATTTGCAACTTGCGAAGTTGTGGACTGGCATGTTGTCCTGGTGATGAGGAAACTCTCCACTAATGTCCTGCTGTGTATATTTCTTCTTGATTGATGGGCACACCTGCTTCAGTAGTTTAACATAATACTTACATAAAGTGAGGTATTTTTGTATTTTATGGATGAGTGAAACCTTTTTATACAAAAGATGAAAATTAGGGTTTTAGTTATCTACCAATATTTGAATATTCATTCAGTAGAGTGGTTTATGAATAGGAAAACGATATTGGAAAATTTGTTCTTGCTGTTGTAAGATATCATTATTTTGAAAAATTGCAAAAAAAACCCTATTTCTGATGAATAATTGTATATAATTTGCAGACATTTAAAACATTTTTTTCTTAACACAAACCTCAAGTGAGTGTTCCATGTTTCACACCAGTGACATCTTGACATTAATAAATGCTGAATGGTTTGATGTTAACACTGTCAAGATACGTTAAATCACTATCTATTTGTATATATAAGGTTCTAAGTAAGTTCCGTCACACCGTGTGAGTGTGTGAAGATCAAACCTATAGCTGTCAGTAATTTTGGTCAAACAGCAATATGACAATCAGGATTTAACATTTTTAAGGTCTCCGGGCGTGCAGTTGTTATACCTGTGGGATATTATAAATATTTGTTTGAAATCTTCCTGCAATGAAGATATTGTTTATTTATTTTAAACAACCTGCATTCAAACTTTTTTTCCATTTTTTTTTTTTTTTTATTTCTCCTTTTCTTTAATTTGCAATATATTTCATAGATTTCGGACACTTTAGTGTCTGTCTACATGTGAGATCCTGTCGTTTGTACACACTGGCCTTAAGTTATACACCTTGGTATAATTGACATTGCCATATGTTAACATCTCACCTCAGACTTATATTTATATTCAAGATTACCAGGCTGTATAACTTGTTTACTCCCTCTGTGAACTTTATCAAAACATTTAGTTCAATTCCTCGGCCAGCAACGCTTCACTTGTTTCAATACATACGTATACATACGTTATTGATAGTAGACAAAACTTACAAGTCTCATTCTGGTTTACATTCTAATTCACACATCAAACATACGTCTAATAGGTTTCATGCTTATCTGTGAGTTTTTTTTTTTTAAAGATGTTTTACTACTTGGTTATACATCCTTTTATAGAATATTTCAGTATCTCATGAATCTTTATAGCAGGTATTTTGATGTTTTATTTATAGTTACTCAATACCCACAAATCAAACGGAGTTATAAATAGGGATCAGTCACCTGTAACGATATAATACCTACAGTTACACCTGTAGAAGACAGGTAGACAGTGGTTGTGTGATGGTTCTCACAAGGCTTAATCGTCCACACTATGTCAGCATCATTAATTCCACTAGCCCTTATTGGTCTGTTAAACTAGCTTAAGTTTTTAGCTGTCATATAGTTTGCACAGGTTATAGGGAGGATGGAAATCAATACAGCCTGCCTCTGAAGCCTGCTTATAGTAGGACAGAAGCCTAGTGATCTGTTTACCACACTCACATGTCCACCTCAGTCCACCTCAGTCACACCGGACTCACTGACTCGTGCACTCTACTACTATTGCAGGGGTGCTCAGAGTTTCCTCTGTCTGCAGCGCTTGGAGTTACAAAGAGTAATCTGGTGTAGAGAAACAGTTGTGTTTAGTCCAAAACAGGATATCACTACTGTGATTTTTTTCCTTCACCTGAGATTTATGGTATCATATCTACTTTTCAAAACAAGTTGTGTTTACAAAATTTGAAAATGGAAAATGATAAATAACGAATCCATTTTAGAAGCAGGCTGTGAAATCTCTATTCTTGGACATTATAACATAACAGTGATACCAGATGTTTGGTGAGGTTTTAATAGTTAGGTGTGTTTAAAAGTGCAAGGAATGAGATATGACGTAAGTCCAACGTCCCCCTTTGACTGACATCATCTCATCTGATCACTAGAGGTACTGGTCAGTTGGGGACATGTGACAGTGAGTCCTATAGATAGGATACGGAGCTGACACGCTAACCAACACCTTAAGGATTACAATGTCAGATGTGTATGGAGCTGAGAGCTGTCCATTTTGTCCATCATGTTTTGGAGTTATTTTCTCTTTCTTCAGGTTTGAGCGACCTGGAAGGAGCCAGGTTGTCACTGAACATGTGCAGCCCCTGCCTAACTCCCACACCGCCTTAAATGACTCCCTAGGGGTCAGTCGGCAGTCGTCCACAGGATCCTACCAGACTATGAGCTCTACACATCCAGGACACAGGGTAAGTCAAATTCTAGTTTTTCCTTATTGGCAGTGCTTCCCTTGATTTACAATACAACAGTGGCCTTGACCTTTAAAGGTTCTGAGTTGGTAAGTCATATGTAAACCTAACTCTTACAACGACAAACAATCAAGGGATTAAAAAGAGGGTTATTTATGCTCTGTAAAAATTGTTGTTATCTATGAGTGACAACAAAAACAATCAACATTGGATATTAGATTAATCAATATTTGTTTTCACAATTTATAGTAAAATTGATGACAACTACATACATTATGTCATACAACGGTTTGAAGGAGATGTACATTTCTGAACTGGGGTGATTTTTACCCTTCAATGATTGAAATTTGAATTCTTACTGCAGATTACAAATTCCAGTCATCTGACTTAAATTAGTTGGTTATGTAGGGTTGGATTCAGATGACATGTAGCCCCAGTTAAAATTGCTTGGTAATTTAACTATTTGTCTATTAAATATTACATAACCAGTAATTTGTTGTCGGGATACCAAGTTGTCAGAAACATATTACTAAGTTAAAATGTTATGAAATCTATTTGATGTCCCTTACCCTTAAGAGGTTCCTCTGAATATCAGTAGAATTATCTCGGTATATCGATAATTATCATAGTTACATCAGTAGAATAAAGTTTAAATCCATTGTTAATGTACAATGAGAAGGTAATTGCAGTCGATCAATGAAAAGTAATAAAAATGATTAATTGACAACGTTCAGTTTTCCATTTGAGTAGAATTTACATACAAAAAAATCAGTCATTTTTTGTGTGCTTTATACCTTAGCAAATGATACCACTACCTATTACCATTTGAATTTGCAAACCACTTCCCTTAGTTATATTGTGATGGCAATGACGGAAAGTTTTAGTTAAAATGTGATGATAATGACAGAAAGTTTAAGTTATATTGTGATGACAATGACGGAAAGTTTTAGTTATATTGTGATGACAATGACGGAAAGTTTTAGTTATATTGTGATGACAATGACGGAAAGTTTTAGTTATATTGTGATGACAATGATGGAAAGTTTAAGTTATATTGTGATGACAATGACGGAAAGTTTTAGTTATATTGTGATGATAATGACGGAAAGTTTAAGTTATATTGTGATGACAATGACGGAAAGTTTTAGTTATATTGTGATGATAATGACGGAAAGTTTTAGTTATACGAACATTGACTTGTTGACTTCTATTTTTGTCATAATTACTTTAGTAATCTAAAAAATTTTGTTTGAATAAAAACTTGATGCGGCTGGTCTATTTACCATTAACCATGGTATTCTGAGAACCTGGTGGGCATTTAGTATTAGTGCTGTGTCTTTCAGAAAGTTATATGCAGACTTGAAAATAAGGATATGAACATTGTTAAAATGGATGTCCTTGACCCAATCTTAATGTCACAGCTAAGGGTCAAATATATTGAAATCATAAAATAACCAATCGTAGATAATGACCATAATAAAAAGTCAATGATATTTACCAAGTAACATGCTGGAATTAAAGTTCATATAACTTAGAATACACTTAAAATGATTTTTGAAAATATCACAAATGAAATAATCTTCGAACAACATCCTCACACAGAGGAGATAATAAACCTATTTTTAGATGACCTTGACTTCATTCATTTGAGATAACTCGGTTTGAGGATCACTTTAGTGTAAGATGAGTAACAGTATGGTGATACAGGCCTAATAGACATCTTGTTACATCTTTATATCATGTGTCATTGAGCTTTATTATTGGATTTTAATTGTGTTTTAGTGTAATATTTCAACTCTCCTGTGTCTCAGTTTGGTGCTGGAAAACACAACTGGAATACAGTTATCATTGATCTATTGGGATCCATGTAACTATAGACTGGTACAATTCTAAGGTAGCTTGAAAAAAATCTATTTTGCCTGAAATATGCTACAAGTTGCCTGAGCCTTAGATGAAGGTTACCTCCCTTTGTCTCAACCTTGCTATATAAGCAGATGTTACATGGGAGTCTGGATGTCATCCTGTGGTGAGAGCTACTTCCTGTTGTTTCCATACCTAGTCATGATGACTGTCAGCATATCCAGGAAATGCTTCTCATAATTATTTCCTGTCTCCAATTGTACAGAATTCCAGTAGCACCTGTAAACTGTTGGACAGATAGGAACATTGAATATCTGTAGAGTATAGACAGATAGGAACATTGAATATCTGTAGAGTATAGACAAATAGGAACATTGGATATCTCTAGAGTATACACAGATAGGAACATTGGATATCTGTAGAGTATAGACAGATAGGAGCATTGGATATCTGTAGAGTATAGACAGATAGGAACATTAAATATCTGTAGAGTATACACAGATAGGAACATTGGATATCTGTAGAGTATAGACAGATAGGAACATTGAATATCTGTAAAGTATAGACAGATAAGAACATTGGATATCTGTAAAGTATAGACAGATAGGGACATTGGATATCTGTAAAGTATAGACAGATAGGAACATTGGATATCTGTAGAGTATAGACAGATAGGAACATTGGATATCTGTAGAGTATAGACAGATAGGAACATTGGATATCTGTAGAGTATACACAGATAGGAACATTGGATATCTGTAGAGTATACACAGATAGGGACATTGAATATCTGTAGAGTATAGACAGATAGGAACATTGGATATCTGTAGAGTATAGAAAGATAGGAACATTGGATATCTGTAGAGTATAGACAGATAGGAGGAACATTTGACATTGAGTGTATATTGTTGCTTTAGATTGAGTGCATGTAGAAATTTCATCATGGACACTTTATAGAAATTTAAAGTGATTGTTATGTTTGGAAACTGTGACCATGTGGAATACCCTCTGACCTACTTCTCAAGTTGATTGGGTTTTCTTTAGATGATACTGTTACAGATATCAGTTAGTGTGTTGATTGGACACATATTTTGTTCTTCCTTATCATTCGTTGAAGCAATATTGTAGTTTATTTCAAAGTCTTCCCTGACTGAAATATTGGTGGCGATATATCGTCACAGTCTAAAACAGGAATAACACCATGATTGATGATACCAGAGGTGATAAGAGGTGGAGTTGATCAATGATGAACATATCTACTATTGGTCTGAATGTCGAACAAACTTCTAAACGAATTGAATCATTGATTAAGATGTTCCGGGTTTCTTCTTTTCTGTTATTTATAACACAGGCGCTATCATTTTAAATTATTCACAAAGTTACTTATAGCAACTGCTGCTTACACTTGCAGATGGATAAAACAGCTTGGTGTTCTGTTTCAAGATTAATGATCAAAAAGAAATGCTTTTGTGACAAGAAACATTTGTACTAACCAAGGTTTAGGAACTGGAATTTGACTAGTTTGACGTGAATTCTTTTTTGTTTCCTCCACTGCTCTACAACATTGCCATTCCCATCTCTACGATGGTTCTTGTTTATACTGGTGTAATTTGTTCCAGGTAGTTGCCTTAATTCTTAATTTGTACCTTATACTTTCTGATCCATTTCGTAAGAAATATGTGGCTTTTTGTTTAATTTGATGCCGGTTACTGTGAGTACCATATCATTCTTGATTGCTGTTGTCTTGCTCAGTATATCATTCACCTAAACCAATGTGTCTTCTCAGTAGTTTTCCATTCCTCCACACGTTACTCGATAAATCAGTGGTCCATGTTCACAGTATCATACCTACGGAATAAATAATGTATTGTATTTGATATTATTTCTGTCCTAGATTGCATGTCGAAGAAACCCACAGTAAAGGCGTGATGGTTTGATAGTTGGTTCAAACGCCTGCATGTGATAAGTCTTACACAGTGACAGACACTGCCGTACTTACAGACTTCGATAGAAAAAAAAAATTGATTAACAATGTCTGTATAGTTACCTGATTTCAAGTGGGAAAAAGGAAGCTGGAAATTATCACATGAACACTTGTTCTGATTGAACTTGTGACTATATCAATACTTAACAGTGTCTTCTATGCATTTCTTGTGTTTGAATGGATTACCTGCTGTGGTATGATATCATTGCTACATTTATTGGAGTAGGCTGTATACATAAGAATGTCACTGCCAACATAGACAAGCTGGCCCGTTTTCTAACAATTTCCTCATTATATCTGCTTCCTTGTGATGTCTATTTAGGTGAAAGTTATTTGAAGTAGAAAATTAGTTTTTGTATTAAAGAGTTCCCTTGGGATAAATACTAACTTCACAGAGTGCGTTTGTACCAAAGTTCCCTCATTATCCATCAGGATTTACCTTACACAATTTTTTTAAAGTGCTTGATTTTCCTCTGGTCCATTAAGCTTGAACTTGTAATATTGTTGCGGAATGTGTTTGAACGTCCTTGGGTCCATCCAAAATAAACTGATTATTTCTTTATCATGGATGATGTTTTCTTAAGATCAGGTCTGAATTATTTAAGGTCAAGGTTATGGTTACGAATAAAATGCTGGTTTTCACATGTATATTGAGTTCCATTTGACCATCTAACTGCCTCTTCGACACTAGAAGGGACTTACTTGAAAGTCATGAAGGTCAAGGTCACTGGTACAAGACAGAAAATTGCTCATATTCATTGTTTTATTATCTCTCTATAGGCAACACATTTGCTTATGTAGATTTATTTTTGAGGTTGGACATTGTTACTGGGGACTGATAGACACTTTGTGTTGTTGTAATAATTACAGCATGATATCCTGATAGGTATAAAATGATCACTATATTCTACAGACATCTGATTGGTTAGGTAAAGTGGCTGTTCTGATCTAAGAGATGCGTGAACTTTGTGACACTACAGGCTAAGACCGTCATCCACATCTGTCAAAAAATTCTCTTAAAGCAATCAGGTGACCAATGAAGTACCTCAGTGTGTAATACATTGAGTTATTGGTGCTGAGAGATAGGACAGAGTGTACTCTATCTAAATACACAAGCTACACATTAACCAATCGGACAATGTCACAATGTTTAGAA